TAGGTTTGGGGTGAACTTTAGTAAATAAGTTAGCGATACTAGATCATTATAATGATAGATTTGGGTGAACTTTAGTAAATAAGTTAGCAATACTACATCATTATAATGATAGGTTTGGGGTGAACTTTAGTAATTAAGTTAGCTATACTACATCATTATAATGATAGGTTTGGGGTGAACTTTAGTAAATAAGTTAGCGATACTAAATCATTATAATGATAGGTTTGGGTGAACTTTAGTAAATAAGTTAGCGATACTAGATCATTATAATGATAGGTTTGGGGTGAACTTTAGTAATTAAGTTAGCTATACTACATCATTATAATGATATGTTTGGGGTGAACTTTAGTAAATAAGTTAGCGATACTAGATCATTATAATGATAGGTTTGGGGTGAACTTTAGTAAATAAGTTAGCGATACTAGATCATTATAATGATAGGTTTGGGGTGAACTTTAGTAAATAAGTTTACTATACTACTTAATTATAATGATAGGTTTGAGATTTGCTTTGTTAAATAGCAAGTTAGTCTCTGAGTCTCAGTGATTATAGCAATAGCAGTTTAGGGTCCAAATTATGCAAAATGCTCTTCTTCCAGTCTTTTTGAAAAAAGAATTTTTGATATAAATCAACATAACTTTTCTGGCAACGTCATTTAACGTTTTTAATTGCAAAACTATTTGGCGGAAGTAGCCAGAAACGTTAAACAGGAAAAGTTTTTTACTGGTTTATTTCATTTCCATGATTTGTATAGAATTGAAACAAATTCTAAAAAAATGGGCCTGTTTTAGCGATAAAATTACATTAGTATAGGTTAATTGTGGTAAATAAAAGACATTACAGTCAAACCAATCTAACTCAGTTACAATTGGCAAATCCATAAACGACCTGGGATTCACATTTATTTTTCGCTAAATTATAAAATTTTGGTGATAAAAACATCATAATATTTCAATAGTATGCTCGCTGAACAATAACTAATAATTAATATGTAGCTTTTCAAATGTTGTCTATTCCAAAAACCTGTGCAATATTTTTCTGAATTAAAGGACTTTATAAACACCAGTAAAAGCTGGAGTTCGATACTCAGAGTCTGTAGTCAGTTTTCATAGTTTTTCCGCTGAAAAACAAACACCGTGTACAAGTTTTAAAAATGTTGTCTTATCTAAAAACCTGTGCAGGCAACTTTTGAAATTATGGACTTTATAAACACTTTGCACACACTTTCAGATTTATCTGAATGAATTTAATAGGTTACGTTTCTTCTCTCTAGGTCTCCCCACTCCTTCTGTCTGAACAATAAACCCCAACAACTAGAATATCTAAAGTTTCCGAATGTACTTCCTGGAGAGAGATATGACGTAGACTTACAGTGTAAGCTCCAGTTTGGAACTAGGTCCAAGCTTTGTAAGCTTTACCATGAAAAGGTACAATCTATATTATGTACATTCTTTTTTAAGATATATCAAAATACATATTACTTGCTAAATTAAACATCATCTGTGGTGAAAAACAAACAATCTAGTTTTAAGACTGTATCCTTAAATAATTATATTTACGCATTGCTGGTGATTGTAATTGCTGTTGTGAAACTGATAACATCAGCTTTGTTTCTGTAAAGTTGTACATATGAACGCTTATATTTAGTGATTTTAGTTGATAACATCAGTTTAGTTTCTGTAAAGTTTTACGTATGACCGCACATAGTTGGTAATTATAACATTAGTTCCTGTAAAATTTTACAGTGTCGTGTAATGTTCGGTATTCTTCTGACCAAATGAAGACTGGGGTATGAGCAAATGCACATTGTTTACATTTCCTGGGTGCAAGGCTATGTAATACACGTACATTGTTATTGTTTACATAAACAACTTCTAACTTCTGTTTTTCTCTTCTTGGATTCAGAATGATGTACTACAAGAACACAACGTCTGTAAATCTTTATGGTGTCAGAAACGAGGGCGAGAATGTGCAACAAATTTTATGCCTGCAGCAGAAGGAACCTCATGTGGGAGGAACATGGTCAGAAACCATTTTGTACCTATATTTAATACCAACCTTCGTTGTTTCTAATAAAAACTATAAGAAGTTTTAGCTGCTATATAACAATAGAAAGTTTAATATTCGGTTCTATATGTTGCTATGTGTAATAGTGTTACAATGAAGCAGTGAACTGTGTTAGAATAACAGTAATAACTTGCATGTGTTGATTATTTTAGGGCAACAAATACAACGTACCCTGGCATGCAAAGCAGCGAGGTATAATGATCACCTTAGTGAGATTTGCAGAATACCTAAAGTTTACTTCTTGAAAGTTGTTCAGTACATATGTCTTTGTAAATAAATATTATATAAAATATATTTAGCATGTATTGAAGGTTGCTGTCAGGTGGAAGTATACACAAGCCATTAAGTTTGAAAGCTAGTCTCATATTCTTCCTCCGGCCAATGATATCGTGTAATATTTTCTTCTATTTCAGTGGTGCAGACGGGGGAGGTGTGTGGTAGTCGATACTAATGGGATCAGACCAGTAAATGGCGGATGGGGTTTCTTTTCAGCATGGTCGCCATGTTCTAAGACATGTGGTGGAGGTATTGCCTTTAAGCAAAGATACTGTGATCGTCCAAAGTATGTTTACATCATTTTATTACTAACCTATGTTGTTTCATTAAAACACTTTCAATTACCAAATTTTTCTATGTCATTACGAACTGGATATTGAAATTGTATACTATGTCTTTGGTTTTTAGTTTGTGGTAAAGGGTCTTAAAAGCACTTTGGGGGGAAAACTCCGTGTTACTGTTCCGAAAAATAATCAGAGAGTAGTTAAAGGTTAAATTATTGATTTATTATGTAATGTAACACAAAACAACAACCTTGAATATTGAGAAATACAAGAGTAAACAATAATTTACAATACCTCTATTATTATTATGTAAATGTACATTAAATTTACTATGTTTTATTGTTATAAGTTAAATGTTTTGATACTTGCTTAACAGTTGCGTCAGGATTTTATAAAATCGTCATTTGAAAAGTGTCGTTTCCTTTCACAGACCACGAAATTTTGGGAGGAACTGTCAAGGAAAAGATCGTGTGTACCAAGTATGCAATCAAGAGGTAACGTTTAACCAGTTTTGCGTAATCACAACGGAATTAATAAATAACTTACAACAAGAAAGTAATGAGGTAACAAACTTATATATAATCTGTCAACACCTTATTTTTTATACACCTTACACATTTCTAATAGATCACAATGACACAAAACCACCTCATATACAACCAATAAACTTTTTGCATATAGAACTTAACCAACTTATACAAATATGGTGTGTATATATATATATATTATATGTAGTTAATCGCCTAATACAGAATTGGTGAACACGTTACAGGTAAAATTGGTATATAATATTGCTCGCGTAATATAGAACTACCTCATATAGAATTAATAAACACGTTACATACAGTATGTAATAACCTACTATGTAGTTGGTGAACATTGCATATACACCACAATCACCTTGTGCAAAAATTGGTTTCTTTATTTCAGAATTTGCGCAAAGCGACACCAAGATTATTTTCGAATAGTGATCTCTGATTCTAAATTTAGGGGCTATAGGATTCACGGTCACACAAATTTGGTAAATACCTGACATATAGAATATAACCATATCATATGGAATTTGTAAGCACCTTCAATATGAAACATAACCACTCATAGAGAAAAGATAAACTCTTTACATATAGTACGTGAATATGTCATAAAGAATTAGTTATCACCTTACGTATAACAGATAAATACCTTATACAAAATAGGAAAATACCTTCCAAAAAGTACGTAAATATCTCTTAGAGAATTGGTAAACACTTTTACTTATAGTACGTATATTCCTTATACAGAACCCACATACGGATCTTAACCACGTCACACAGAATTGGCAAACACTTTTACCTATAGTACGTATATACCTTATACAGAACCCACATACGGATCTTAACCACGTCACACAGAATTCGTAAATATTTTACATTTAAAACTTAATTGCCTCACACACGAATGATAAGCATCTTATATATAGTATAAAAATACCTAATAAACAAATAGTAAGCGCCTTATATAAAGTACGTAACCGCATCACACAGAATTGGTAAGCACTTTACATATAATACGTAAATATCTCATACACAACTGATGAAACACCTTTTATATATTACGTAAATACCTCATACACACAACTGATAAAACAACTTTTACATACTACGTAAATACCTCATACACAACTGATAAAACAACTTTTATATATTACGTAAGTACCTCATACACAACTGATAAAACAACTTTTACATACTACGTAAATACCTCATACACAACTGATAAAACACCTTTTATATATTACGTAAATACTTCACACACAATTGATAAAACACCTTTTATATATTACGTAAATACCTAATACATAATTTATGAGTTATCGCTTTTGGATTTTGTTATGTTAAAAATATCCAGACACTCAAATAAATCTATTATTCTACTACATGAGAGTTGCCTAGTGATTAGCTCTCCGAGTTGTGGATCATAAAATCTCAGATTGAGCCGCGTTATACCGCTGAGTATACTCATTGCCATCAACTCTAGGGACATTATAATTGTGACAATCAATTCCGCTATTCGGTAACAGTAACCATGTGTAGACAGCTGGTGCTGCTGGCAGGTTGCCCTGTCTCTAGTCAGTAATTCTAAATTAATGGTGGCTCTGCCTGAGCCTTGGGGTTCTCTGAGTAGGCCATTCAGTGATGCTGCTCAGATTGAAAACATCAGTTGTTACATACATCTAATCATATTTTAAATGTGTTATTTTCTCAAATGCACCTAACTAATATTCACTCAATGTGTGTTAGCTTCCTATAAACACCTATTTTTATTTACTCTCTTAAAAATGATGTTTCTTATGCACACCTAGTCACATTTACTACATTAAATGTGTTATTTCTCACCTACACTGACAACGTGTGCTATGTTAAGTATTTTATTTATCCACACATGTCTAATCACAACAATCCTGTTCAATGTGTTAGTTTCCACACACCACACTGTTAAATGTACTCGTTTCCTATACACACTAAATCAGAATCACTTTATTTAATGTGTTTTTCCTACACATACACCTAACACTCAATCACAATCACTCCATTAAATATATTTCTTATGCACACCAAATCACATCTGCTTCGTTAAATGCGTTCTTTTATTACACACACACATATAGCCACATCAAATATTATTAAAAGAGATTATTTATGTGCAGGATTGATAAATTCCTTAAATACATTATAATTATTAGTGAAAACAAATAATAAAAATACAGGTATAAAACATACTGAGTACGTTGTTACTCATTTTAAGTCGAAACACCCCAAGGATACAATCTCGAATATATTAGGTACAAAAGAAAATTAAAATGTAAGCCTAAAATGTTGCCGTTTTCACTCAGTTTTGAATCTTTTATATGAATTTCTAATAATTAACCATAAGTACTATGTGTATCTTTTTGTTCAATTAGTGTGCAAACTTCATTTCTAACTCAGTATTTCTAAAGTTTCTTTATTTATAAAAAAAGAACATCTTATTACACTCTTCTGTTTTATTTAGTTTATATATTAACAATATTTCCTAGTCTAAAGCTTGTTTATTTCGGTATTATTGATAGCCTTGTCTCCAAAGAAGTGCCGATTTGCAGGCAGAACAGTGTCAGACTTTCAACAATAGAACTTTCAGTGGAAAGCGGTTTCTATGGGAACCGTATGATAAGGACCTTGGAGGTAGAAATTAATTGATGCGAATATTAATTACTGAAAATACGTATTAAACCAAAAAATGAAAACTTTAAGCTGTTATTACTTATTTAGCTTATAAACTTTAATATATATTTTAATAATTAGCCACAATTGGTCAGGGGAACCCTAAAACAATTCCACCAATAACAAATTAAACTCGTGGCTATTATTTCTTTGACTGTAACACTATTATTAATATTTTTGTCTTTTCCTCAAATACAGCACTGTATCGGTGCAAAATCTACTGTACTCCTCAAAAAGCTGACATTTCATTGGTATTATCTACAAAACTTTCTGACGGTGTATCCTGCAAGCCTGGATTCTCAGCCGTGTGTGTTGATGGTGAATGTAAGGTTAGTTGTTGAGAAACAGTTTAATACAGCAATCTATGTGCTCAAAAATATGGACGTCAATACTTGAAACCAAAATTTAAATATTTCTTAAGAGTTTTAAGCTATTAGATTCTACACTTTTTTTAAGTTATCAAAGAAAGAAAATCCAAGTTTTACTACAAATAACGTACGTTGTAAGGTGTGGTTTCAGATCAATAATTTGACCTAAAGAACCAGACTCGTACAAAACGGGTTTTGTTCACAGACAATGCCAGTGTAGAAGAGACCTGACGTTTCTCTCGTAGCTGTTAAACATGGTAAAGTCAAACATTTCATAAATGTTCAGGCTTGTTTGTAGTTTAACCAAACTCATTCTTATGTTTTGTTTTACAACACGTTCCTAGCTATCAGTGGAAGACTGTTTAGTTTGCTATAAGATACCTTTTGTGTGTGTATATAATTCTTTCTACAATAAGTTTTACTCCTTATACGTCAAACGTACAGGACAGAAATGCACGCTATAGATTCGATTAGAATGTTTTACTTAAACTTTGTACTGTCAGTTACAGTTTCTATTTTAGTGAAACGATACTGAAGAAACTGTAAAATGAAACGTCGAGTGTCCAGTTAAAGAAAAACAACAAATTTGATATTATAACTTAGGTCGTTTATTACTAGTCTTTTACAGATGATCATGTAAAAGGAACACATTAATGATTATATTTGTTAGTTTAGTGTAGTTTATGCTTTGTTCTTTTTACTTTAGTTTAATGTAGTTTATGCTTTGATCTTTTTACTTTAGTTTAATATAGTTTATGCTTTGTTCTTTTTTACTTTAGTTTAATATAGTTTATGCTTTGTTCTTTTTTACTTTAGTTTAATATAGTTTATGCTTTGTTTTTTTACTTTAGTTTAATATAATTTATGCTTTGTTCTTTTTATTTTAGTTTAATATAGTTTATGCTTTGTTTTTTTTATTTTAGTTTAATATAGTTTATGCTTTGTTCTTTTTTTACTTAGTTTAACGTAGTTTATGCCACTGTATATGGATTACAGTTCAGAAATGCTATTTAATTAACACTACAAATTTCGACATTCTACTACACGGTTGCCATTTAGTGCTTACTAGTTTTCACTTATGAAAAATTTCGCCGAAGGCGAGGGTAGCTTCGTTATCAACAACGAAAACAAACGAGTTGATCGAAATTATGGCCCAATTCTAGGTATGTCGAACTCATTGAAATATATTTAATTGTCGAAAATATTTCCTTTTTAAATCTTGCAGACCCAAAAATACACTTTTATAATCGATGACGAGGAACCCACTTTTTAGAAAATAGCATTTTGGAGACGGCTTGACTGGGTAATAAGGAAAACTTTATCATAAATGCAAAACGTCTCGACAAGATTATGTCTCTATGTGCAAGTTTGCAATACAAAGGAAAATTAAAAACAAATTTAAAGCCTTCTCCGATGCAAACTAATACCAGGACATCATTTTGGACCTTCTTTTTTGTTTTACTGCCCTTTTTTCATTTAGTATGAGTTAGCGTCCGTACATTATAGAACCAGAAATATTTTGTCGAGCTCACCTGACACACTAGATGTCGTTTTGTTTTGTTGTTGTTGTTTTGATTTTTTTCAAAAAGAGAAAATTTCCGTTCGTAATTTTCGATATGAATTGTTAATAAATTGCTTACTCTGTAAAAACTACGTAATTCTTGTTTAGGGATACTCTAGTGCTACGTAATTCTTCCTTACCAAAACTATAAACTATGTAATTCTTGCTTAGGGATACTCTAGTGCTAGGTAATTCTTCCTTACCAAAACTATAAACTACGTAATTCTTGCTTAGGGATACTCTAGTGCTACGTAATTCTTGCTTAGGGATACTCTAGTGCTACGCAATTCTTTCTTGCGTAAACTCTAGTACCAAATTAGTTCTTCCTTACGAAAAAAATTACTACGTAGTTTTCCTTTACGGAAAATAGTACTCCATAATTCTTTCTTGTGAAAACTCCAGATCTACGTAATTCTTGTTTATGGAAACTCTAGAGCTACATAACTTTTTCAGTGAAAATAGTACTAGGTAGCTCTTTCTTACAGAAAATAGTATCACGTAATTCATCTTTACGAAGACTCTAGTACTACGTAATTCCTCCTCATGAAAACTAATACTGCTTAATTCCTCCTCCAGAAAACTAACACTATATAATTCTTCCCTACGAAAAATACTACTACTTTATTTTTCCTTATGGAAATTCTAGTACTACGTAATTCTTCCTTACAGAAAAAAATCATTACGTAATTATTCTTTACGTAAACTCTAGTAGTAGGTAATTCTCCCTTAGATACACTCCAGTACAACGTAGTTCTTTACGGAAAATAATACTACTTAATTTTTCCTTATGAAAACTAGTACTAAGTAATTCTTCCTTAGGTACACTCCAGGGCTACGTAATATTTCCTTGGGTACATTCCAGTACGTCGTAGTTCTTTCTTACAGAAAATAATACTACGTAATTTTTCCTTATAGAAACTCTAGTACTTCGTAATTCTTCCTTATGTAAACTCTAATACAATATAGTTCTTCCTTACAGTAAATAGTACTACATAATTCTTCCTTACCTCAACTCTAACACTACGTCGTTCTTCCTTAAGAATAGTACTACGTAATTCTTCTTTACGGAAACTTGATTACCACGTAATTCTTCCTTACGGAAGATAGTACCGCGTAATTATATCATATGTAAACTCTAATATTTCATAATTCTTTCTTACGGAAACATTAGTACCACGTATTCTTCTTTACGGAAACTTGATTACTACGTAATTATTTCTCACGTAAATTCTAGTATTACTTAAATTTTCCTTACATAAAATCTAGCACTACGTCATTCTTCCTTACGGAAAATGGTACTACGTAATTCTTCCTTACAAAAACATTGTGCTTTGTAATTCTTTCTTACATGACCTCTTGTAGTATTTAGTTCTTCCTTATGGAACTAGTCTTACGAAATTCTTCCTTACGGAAAGTCTAGTCTCACATCTATTCCTTAACAAACATCCGTAGAATCTGGTTGAAACTACGCGTAGAAAGAAGTGAGATGGTTTTTGTAAACCACCGAAAAAAAAGGTTGATTCTACAAAATCTTGTAATTTTTCCCCCTGGGAGTTTCAGCTTAAAACGTATAATAAAACAATTGAAGTGATTTTTCTAGTTACACGTCTTGTTGTGTATGTGAACAGAAAGTGGGTTGTGATGGGATAATTGACTCCATGGTCCAGCCTGATGTATGTGGTATTTGTGATGGAGATAATTCAACCTGCCGCCTCATTGCTGGACAACTGAAAATTCAGCGGAATATTTCTGGTAGGTAAAGTGTTATTTATAGTTCGAAAACCCACTCTGAACTGACTAATAGACACTATCACTTTTATAGTGTCTACTAACCAGTAAAGTATCGATACTCATGTAAAGACCACAGAAATATTGCACTTGTTGATATCACAGTAACACTACCAATGCCTATAACACAGTAACACGATCAATGTAGACACTACGATAACACTTCTAATGCATAAAATACTGTAACACTGCCATTGTAAACATTACAATAATACTACCGATGTAAACAACACACTAGAACTACCAATGTAAATATCAGAATAACACCACCAATGTCGACACTGCAGTAACATTTTTAATGTAGATATCACATTAACACTACCAATATATATATATATATATATATATATATCCCAGTAACATTACTAATATATATACATTCTAGTAATACTACCAATATATGCATCAAAGTAACACTACCAGTGTAGGTAATAGTAGCACTATGAATTTGGTCATCACTGTAACACTACAAATGTGCTCATCACAGTAACATTACCAATGTGGTAATCACTTAGAGGTTTAATTTTTATCAAGAAAAACAATATAATCGTAAACTTTAATTACCATTGCCTGCTTATCCTATAGTGAGAGAAGTATGAAAATGATTTTCTGTGTGAACTACTAAGCTTCATAGGTCATTCTAACCCTTATTGTTTTATTTGGTTTATAGGTCGAAGGAACATTTTAACCCAAATAATACATAATTAGGGACACTCTCTTAGACATTCAACGTACAGATAAATCAATTGTTTAAATTTTAGCAGTCAAACAGGCGATAATAGAAAAACCCTCGACCACTTTCGTAGTAGGGTGTAAAGACGACATTGAACTTGCTCCAATGAAAGCAGCTAACAATATATATGTATTTAAAATATTTGTTTGATTCGTCGTTAGGTTGCATTTATCTTTAATCATATTTGATTACAATAAGTTTAATACATTCACAACTTTAATATTTACCAGCAAATCTGACCATTCAGTTATAAAAAAGTGTATTATTCGGATAGAGCGTTTTATGTAACGTACATAGCTACTTATATACATCAGAGCCAATAGCGTATAAATTAGAAAATTGAATTTTTACCTATCTTTATATTTAGGTTATCATACCATTGTTCTCTTCATCATTTCATTTAGTTACTATAACATTGTATTCTTCATTTTTATCTTTGATTTATTATATCATTGTTCTTGTCGCCATTTTCTTAGATTACTATATCATTGTACTGATATTATACCATTTTTCTTTTCGTTATTTCTTTAGATTACTACAGCATTGGGTTGTTCATCACTTCTTTATACTTCATCATTGGTCTCTTCTTTTCTTCGTCACTCCCTTAAGTTATTATCCCATTGCTATTTTTGTCCTTTCCTTAGGTTACTATACCATTGACATTCCCTTAATATACCATTGTTATTTTTACCATTCCCTTAGAGTAATATACTAATGTTCCTTTCGTTATTTCCTTAGGTTACTATACCATTGCCCAGATACCAAAACATGCACGAAGCATAAAAATCAGCGAGGTTAATGAATCTCCATCTTACCTTGCATTACGAAACCTGATTGGCCATTACTACATCACTGGTCACTGGACAATAGACTGGCCAGGGCGATACCGTGTAGCTGCGACAGAGTTTTTGTACAGGAGATGGTACAAACAGCCTGAATCTTTACAAGCTGAGGGTCCCACCAATGAAGATCTTATTGTGGAGGTAAGCGAGTTTCGGAATGTGTAGATTAATTCAATCATTCGATTGTAAAGCACATGGTTACACTGAAATCGCTTGTACACGGGAATGAAATTATTCGGGTAATCACCGAAAACTTAACACCGATTCTTTGTGGAGTTCCGAATTGAGTACCAACTTATTTTATTTTATTTTTTTTGAAAGCCAGTACCGAATTCTTTACTTAATGAGAGCTACATATGAACAGTGCACAGAAATGCACCGTTGACCTATAGAATTAGTGGTATCCCATACTGACCACTTATATATTTCCAAATAACAGGGTCCAATCGTTAACTGAAAATTCTGATACTGAGGTCTTATATGGTTAAACGAGACAAGCTTTCTCAGCGTCTGTAATATCTCTTCACGTAATTTGCCACCTTGACCTGTTTAAACTGTTTTTGTTTTATTTGTCTAAATTCTATAGGCTTTACTTCACGGCGGAGAGATGACGGTGAAATTTAGTTTTGTGTTGGATAATGAAGTGGAGACATATAACACAGATACAGAACTTCGCCAATCAATGAGAAAACATTATAAATGGCGATTAGTGACGTCACCATGCTCGGTGTCCTGTGGAGCAGGTAAATATTAATTGCTATACGTTGTGTGTTTATGCGAAAAAAAAGAGTACATAATAACTTAGACTGAATACAGTAAAGGTCAAAGTTATCATAATTAGTTCTTTATATGATCTAGATATATTGGTATTATTTGGCATTTTCGAAAGTTACAATAATTGATTGACTGTTCTCATAAAAATTAAGGTTTAGAAATTTTCAGTCAGAAATATCTATTTTTTAACTATTTTAGATACTTATAACGGTTAGAAATATGACTTCTGATTCACAATTCGGCTACAAATCAAACGATTTTCTAAACCGAAAGCAAATTTTATTCTCATTTCTGTAGGTCTCTTTCACAAAATTAAAATAGAAGAACAGTCATTTATTTAAACAAATCACTGTTTGAATATGTAGTCATTGTTCTTAATCACTACATGCATTTATGAAGTGAGCCTCCTATACACTATTTGCACCTTTGATGTCTTCGTTCCTGGTGACTTTTTTGCATGAAAGTAGTGTTTCTTCTTAATAGTCTTTTGTTTTTTTGAGCCCACCTTTTTTATGTGCATAAAATTGTTATCCTAATCATTATTTGTATTTTTGTTCATGTTTGCATCCATGAAATTTAATTCTTATGTATTTTCTGCATTCATGTACCATTTGCAACTATATCATCTTTGTTCCAAATCATTGATTGCATCTACAAAACCTTTGTTTCCGATCACTAGTTGCACCCATAAAACTTTGATCCTAAACTTTCTTTGCATGTATTATTATTGTTCGAATCTCAGCTAAAAGTGACTTTGGAAAACACGTAATTATTTTCGTAGTGGGAAGCTGTAAAAAGTTACATTAATTTAAAAGTAGTAGTTTCAATTTAAAGGTATACCAGTTTTCATTCGTATCATAGTATAGCTTTGAAGGTTTGTTATATTACATTCGTGTTAAAAAAAGAGCTAATAAAGCTTAGATCAAACCTACTTCTTCTGCATATCCTGACGATGGTTTCAAATTCTGTATTTAGGGTTCCGATACCAAAATTACAGCTGTTTTGACGAGATGGTCAACCTTGTAGCCAATGATTTATGTGGCTCATCCACTGAGCAGTCTTTGTTTCAAATAACACAGTGTAATTTTAATTCCTGTCCCCCAACGTAAGTTTAGTAATACAGTTATTTACCTTAAAGAAATACAGTATTATTGTCTAAAGACATCAGCACTTGTTATTCGAGTTGAACATGTTGTTAATGTGTAGAAAATAAAGTACTTTGTTGAATGTTTTCTATAACATACCTACAACAAAATGTTTCACTTTCACTTCTAATATTTCGTAGTACTCTTGATATTAATTTTGAAAATTAAAATCCAAATACTTTTGTTTGATCTTGTACTAATTTATCTTTAAAACGTTAGTTTAAAAAACATAATTGGAGTATCCTATTATTCCTCAAAATGAACTTCTTAGACACTAAGATTATATGGGAACAAAGACATTAATATCCCTCAAGTATGTCTATTTATATTGAATTCATGTTTTTACTGATAGCTAAAACTAGAAATTTATTTCATCTTCAAGAATGTATATATTTTTATAGATTCTTGTAATGTGTATCAAACAATAGGTGGGAAACTGGTAAATGGGGCAGCTGCAGCAGAAGCTGTGGTATCGGTTTACGTCACAGACATGTCAAATGTGTCCGAAAAATCAACGCCACAACCACCGAAAAGTTACCTAGTCGATTTTGTCGTGGACAAAGAAAACCAGCCAGAAAGGAAAAATGTAGTCATAGCTTATGTTCTGTCCAATGGGCAACTGGATCTTGGACAAAGGTACAGACTGTATAGCATGTTAGTACATCAGGCTGTTTCATTATTTCTCTTTTTATGTGTCTGAGTATACATTTAGCATTTAGTGAGGCACTTTTTATAATAGCACCAACTACCAAAACTTGTACACACCTTACAACCCACATATACGCGTTTTTGCTAATTTTCTAGCAGATCCATGCGACTAATCCTGAAAGATCCCATTATTAACATTTCAAAGTCCTAAACATAAATACGTACATTGTATGAGCCCTTAAATTGTCACGTATATCTGTCAACCCAGTCCTGATAGCCCCCAAAACCCCTTTAACCTAAAATCTGGAGATCCGATTTTAAAATTTCACCCTCTAGTAGCTTTACGAGAAGTTCAACAAACAAGACATTTCATCTCCTTTTCTTGTTCTTCAGTCTCCTTTTATTCAGCAAGAAAGTATATTTTGAATCATTATTCTCCAAAAATTCAAAGCTTGTACGAAGTACATTTTAGGCTTCCTTGTAAATCAGGATGCTGCAGTGCTGCCATCTCGTGATCAATCTTGCTATTCCTCAGTTTGCAACAGAAGAATACCACACGCTGTTCTAGACTCTTTATTCTTTCACTGTGTTTCTAACATACAGACGGTTTTATTTAATAATGAAGATGAAGACGGTTGATGAAGATGGTTTTGTTTAAACTTCTCATTGTTTTGTTTCTCCCCAAAGCGCTCTTGGAGGTTTTGAAAAGCTTGAATATTGTTTCGTTAGTCCGTAACACTCGTTATGCCAAATTTTGTGAATCTCTGCGAAGTTTAAATGTTTCACTATGTTCTTTGTAATTTTCCCATGTATACCACTCCATTGTAACCAACTTCAAACATTTCTATTTCTGATTTTAAATCTGTGTATATCTCGTATCTCTGAATGTTTTGAATGATACTATCTCACGAGTGGATTGTGTTCTGTTCCAAATTGCAATAAAACGATCTAATTTCTGAAATCGTATGCACTCTTAAAAGCACCACGTTTCGAGCAACATGCCATTGATGTTTCTCTTTCTTCTGTAAAGCAGTAGCTTATACTCGTTTGGCTTTAGTTCATTCTAAGATATTTTATTGTTTTTCTCACCTTGTGATAAACCGAAGTTAATTTTGTGGTTCGTTATGCGAGCTTTCAAATAAATTCTATAAAGGGAAAGGTAAGTCAGAAGCCCACTACCAACAGGGTAGTTATTCCATTCCATATTCTTGTAATGGTGCTTATATTGGTCAAACAAAACGATTTATGACAATTATACTACAGAAAGGTTATGGCTGGTGTTCTCGGAAGGATGTTTAAAAAAATCGGATTTAGCATTTAGTGTCCATACAGCCAACACAGAATTAATTTCGATCTATCAAAATCATTGCTGAAACAAAATTATTCCATCAATGTAACACAAGAAAACCAATAGAAATATTTAAATAACGAAAACGTACTCAATAATTAAATGAGATTTAAACTCAACCCTATTTGGAATTATGTTTCTATAATTAGTTTTGGTGCTCTACTACCGTTAGTGAATGTTGACTTTTCTGGACCGTATCGAACCCGGACATAAAAGACTCTGAGTTGAGTTTTATTTCGTCCCTTGAGAATGACAAGCTTAGCCTGTCGAAACTAGTCAGTTTTTATTGTTTTGTTAATTTATTAATCATTTGTGCAATATTCTGCTGAGGTATTATAACTGTTTTTAATGAATTTGCACAAAGTAATTCTTTAAATATGATTTTTGAAGTTATTACGTTATAGCTACTGCACCTATTAAAACCTAAGGTTGGGTTAAATATAAATGTGTATATTATTCAATTTGCATGAGGAAGACATCTTGACAAAGTCACAGACAGTTGCTTTTAAAAAAGAATTTTGGTATGTTTGTATCAAGGACTGAATTATTTATTGTTATTGTTCTTCGAGTGTACATCGAATATACTGTAGAGAACAGGCTAGTTAGGCGTTCTGAAGTGGGACTTTGTAACCATAACATAAAAATAAAATTGTGAAGTTTTATGCCGTGACACAACTACAATAATTAACTGTATCCTTTCTATTTCTAGTGTAGTGTAAGTTGTGGTGAAGGTCGTCAGACGAGAAACGCTACATGTGTCATCAGGAGACAAGATAACAATACAAATGACGCCCTATTTTCTCATCATTTCTTCAGTCGCCATGTTGATACAATAAATTGTAATTTTATTCTAAGACCTGTGACCACTCGTTCTTGTTTTAATAACCCTTGTCCAATATTAAAACCAATAGGTTTGTATCCAATCTTATATTTTGGAAGTTTTATTTGATTTCTACATATTTTTGAAATTTTAGATTCTGAAAGGCGAAATCCTAAAAAAAACATGACAACAATATGATGAAATTTATGTTAAAGGACATAGAACAATCACGTAGATATTTTGATGTGTTTGTTTTCCCAACACTCACACTTATTTGTTTAGTTAGTAATGAACTTTGTAGTACAGCGTTACTTTCTTTTGCAGTTGAAAACTGTGTGGACCTATACACTTGGTGCCATCTTGTGGTGAAATACAAAGTTTGTTCTCACGATTTTTATAGCAAGAAATGCTGCAGTTCCTGTATTTGAATGGATTTTAAATGATTTATACGATGCATTTTTTTCTCTCTCTTATTTTTTAATGACATGTAAAATGTTTTAAAATACCTTTGAGTTTAGTAGTAAAAACGTTCTTATAGTAAGGTTTTTGGTAATCGGATATCAGTCGTGGTTAGCAGCCTATATTATTATTAGTTAGTTACATTTTTATTACTTGATACTAATTATTAACAAACAGGGAACTCCGAAAAAAGGACTGTTTCTGTGGTACTTCAACCCAGGATTCATAAAGAAGCTGATGTGGTATTCATTCATTATGACTCATCACCACCACCACATCATAGTCTTTCATTGAAGATTGCATTACGCGAAACGTAGAATATAAACTAGTTAGTGATTAATATCCAGTATCAAAATGAGTAACTAAGTCATAATTAGAGACCTGATTGTATAAATCACTAATCGTGTGCTTGTGATCAAATAACTTAAACCTGAGCCCTACCAATGACAGAAATATTCTGGATATTTAATGTGTTTTTATAAGTGTAAAACCTAGAACTTTCAAATATATATATATATATCGTCTAAATTAGCATTAGAATTTTTAGTTGACTTACAGAATCTCCAGTTTTCACTTAATACCTCTATATAAAAACACTATTAATTTTTTTTACCATGGTGAATTGAACGATGCTATCTTTGTACACAGGAATAATGTTAATCATGATGTAACGTTCAACTATAAAGTTATTATTATTTGTAATAATTATTTCATATTTTTGTGCTTGTTCCACCTGTCTCATATATTTAACATAAATATTAGCCTGTAGTTAAAGGTTGTCTTACGAAATCACAGAATTTAAATAATTTTACCTCTTAATTCGAGTGTTTTAATTTATCCTATTTTATTCAATCGTTTTGTAAAGATTATACATTTATTTATTGTCGGTGTGTTGACATTTTCTTTCCAGCATTACAAGTGTTACCTTTAACAGTAATAATCATTTTTTCCTAATTTTATTCATCCAATATATATCTTGTAACGAACAACTAAATTTGGTGTTTAGCCAATTTTAATTCTTTATGATGTAAAGCGTGTTTGGTGGCATATTTTGGTACGAAATTAATTTTATTGTACTAATGATTGCTTTATCAATTACATGGAAGTAAGTGACTGATGATCGCAAGAAATGTCTATGATTTTTCTGGTTTAACTATAAATAGTGTCAGTCTAATGGTTAAATAATCTATGTTAGCTGATATCACATTTTTATAGAAATAAAATATGTTCTATGTTAGAATTCTTGTGTCAACTGTCCTTCTTGATGTTGTATCTAGTTCACGAGGAAAATGCTGTGTCTTCAACACTGATATTCTCGCCTTGAACTTCTAGTAACGAGAGTAAATACGTTACTTAGTATGCAGTATTCAAAACAGTCTTAAAGCCTTGCCTCTTCACAATTTTTTTTTTTTTTATTAATGATTTGCAAGCTAAGCAAACTATAAAATCAAATTCTTGATATGTTGCCAACTAAAACAGGCTTTCATGTGTGCAGATTATATGAATTTTATCTATCACTATTCAATTCCCCGTAATTGTTGGCTTAATATGCTAACGTTTCTGTATTGGCTTTATGTGCGCATGTTGCGATTTTTTATAATAATATTTCAATATTGGTAACAAATTTCAGCGTGTTGCACTGAGATTGTGTATTTGCAAGTCATCATTTCTTTTAAAAAAGTCATGTAAATCAACAGTATTATATATCTTCTAATAGACGAAATGATTTCATAAAAATACGTATGAGTTGGTACCAATGTCTTTAATCTATGTTTAAATTGAATACCACGTGCTGATTACCATATATTATTAATGTTTTAAGTTTAACTGTATTTTCATTATTTTTAAGTTTCTCACACGAATATTTTCCACAAAACATTTTTGATCAATAATAGCCACAATTTGAAAGTATTAATACTTTCCAAGTTTTATATATGTCTTAATATAATCATACAATATTTCAAACTACTTCAGTAAGAAATGTGCCATTAGAGTTTTCAATTTCATGAATCCAGAAGCATTTTACGTTTGCATGGAACTCATTTCATTCTGTTATCTCTCCACACTCGGAAATTTAAGGCCGATCCAAACGTCACCCATGCTAGGTATGGTATCATAAAGTAAGATGCATAACGATTGATAGACCAAAAGGTATAGATACAACCAGAAATAAATCCCATCAGGATGGTGATATCAACAAATGCCTGAAATATTAGAAAATTTCAAATGATTCGATGTGAATGACAGAAAAATGTTCTTTTTTTAAGTTCTATTAGGTTTTAACTTGATCCTTTAAATAAGTGAGGTATTTAATTAGATTAACTTATTTGTTCATTAAATGTAACAATTACACTAACTCCTACCATCTAAGCTATGTCATTATATATATTATCAACTCAATGTAAAGTTGAACCCTTATTCTACTAGCACGAATAAACAACCATGACTTTACTCGGTAATCAAAACTGGTGGTATTTAATTTTAGAAGGTAACGTATTTGATTCTTAATATTTAGATTGAAACCATAAGTTGCTACAAAGATAATCAGATAAGTATTTTGTTCTGTCTTAATGTACGTTTTGTGATAATATTATAAACAAGTTAGTTGGAAGGATACATATTCCATCTGTTATTTAATTGGTTTGTGACATTTAGGCATTGGACTGCTGTTAAAGGAGAGGTGAAGACATATAAGAGAAACAAGTAAACACGAGGAAACTATCATAGGACCGCTCTAGTCAATAAAAAGGTATTATACAAATAAATTTCTATCTCTGACAGCTAGTGAGTTACATACAAATTCTGTGCCATAATTACGATGGCAATTTTAACATCGACGAGAAGAAAGCCTTATTATAAAAGCCGAAACATCGTCTCATTCCAGAAACAAGCAGGAACAGCTAAAAAAATACTGAACTCTTACGGAGTGGAGCTTATCTGAATATTATATATCGTATTTGATTCATCCACTGTTCATCGAGTTTCTTGGATGATTAAATTTATTTAAAATTAACGAATAAGTGTGACAAAAAATAAGTGTATAATCACATATACACCGAAGCAATATCATTAGTTGCTGAACCTTTCAAAATCATTTCTGAATTTATGTAACGTCAAGAGTTGAACAAACAAAAACAACTTGAAGTCATACCGTAATGAAAATATGTGGTAAATCCGAAACATTTATAAAACAAGCTGCACTGCAAAAAAATAGCTATCCAAAGAAAAAATATTGTAAGTAACAAGTTAGTCTTCCTACATTCAAAGGAAGTTAGTTAAAGTATCAATTTTTGATACATTTATTATGAAGCGCAAAGCTACATATTGACCCACCGCGAATTTATTATTGAATCTTTAATTTTATTATTAGAAGCCTTCAAATTTATCGCTTATCCACGTGAGAGTATCACTGCTTGAATTTAAAAGTAAAATGTAACTAGCTGACTGTTTACCACTAGAATTGGAGAAAAGTTTTAATTTTATTGAACATTCATCATAGACTGAGCCTATTATCATTATTTCTCTTGTTGTTTTCTTACTAACCTCAATTCGAATCAACCAGTAAATCATAAGAAGTTTCAAAGCTATTTTCAAACATAAAAATATATGTAAAGTAATAAGTTGGTATCTAAACATATTTTATTTTCAAAATAAAGTACTAATGTACATCTTTAGAATTCATTTATTTACCATTACCAGAAATTTCGCTTTTCCGCTTATTTAACGAAAACAATTCTATATGGATTTTAGGTACTACTGATGACATTATAAAAAAAAATTTGTCATCTTTTATAACATTTTCAATTAAACCCTAACTTCATCAGTGTTATAAATATTCAAATAATAACAAAAACGATTATGTAACTGTCTTTTTCATTTTCAGGTTATTTGAAGATAATAACTGTACACGGAATAAAAGTACAACTGAGAGGTGTGAACTCAAACGAAATATTACACTATATTAGACATAAAACTATCAATTTTTAGTGAGCTCTGCATTAACTTATTTTAGAAGAGCAGATAAAAAGTTTAACTCTTTTGTGACCAGTTAACAATATTACAGTATGTATAACATTGTCAGAAAAAAATTATTAAAAGATAAGAAAAATCATGACCTTGATTTTCCTTTAAACAAAGACCTACCATTCCTGGACAATGTGCCCCAAAGAACAGTGGTGTCCATGCCCAGTTAAGAGCTAGCTGTGTGCCGTATAGCATTAGAGGTAGTCGTGCATGGCCACCGAAGCCACCTCCATCACGCCAGATCAAATAGGAAGCATAACCCATTTCTGTGTAGAGGAGTCCCCAAGCTGTCCGGAACACCCACTTTGGTGGGTGCCATTTTGGTTTCTTAAGGGACTGCCAAATATTTATTAATATATAAAGCTTGTCGAATGAGAAATAAACAATTCACAATCTTAAAAATGCGTATGTTTCTCGTATAACTTTAACCATTCCCCCTTTTTTATATAACAAAATGGTTTTATTACAGTTTGCAAAATTGAAATCGCAAACAAAGATGGGGAAAATATTCAAAAAATTAAATATAAAACGCTCTATAATTCTGACTGATATTTCAGAAATTATCCGACCTTTGTTTCGCATCACAGTGAAGAGACTTCTGTGTTTTGTGTGTTTAAGGTTCCATAAACAGCTACAATCGTGATTGCAGGCCAATAAATAATTGTTTATACGCTCATATGACTTATGTAATCTCAGAGCTAGTTGGAATACCATTTTTAAATAACTTACATTACATATGATGTTTTTCGCAGATCGGATTCCATTTTCTTTTATTCTGAAATACATAGGAATAAGGAAAATTGAGAGTTTGGAAGATGGAATACAGAAAATGGTATCCATGGAATCTCATTATGATAAATTTTGGCTGAAAAGTGACTCTCCAAGCTTTCTATATCTGAAAATAAGGATGAAAGGCATTGAAATACAATAGTTATCATGGGTGTCGTTGCTTGTGTTATTACAGCACAAAGCTATACAAGGGGCTACCGGCTTTCTGTCCGGCACGGGGAACTGATGGGTGCCCTAAGATGGGGTGCTTGAACACAAGAAATATAGTGTCACTGTTTTCAAATAATGGAACTTATGCATTTTAATGAGTTGATTAATGCTTTTGCAACTGTGTTCAATCGAAAATAATAGCAAAGGTGTCGCGTACAGTAAAGAATGACTGCAGAAGGTGTAGTGGAACTTTAAAAATCTATCAATAAGTATGTGGAATTCCTCCCTTCCAGAGGAAATATTCCTGCTTTATAATTAAGAATAAAATCGGTGAAGGTTTAAAATCCCAGCTTGTAAAACAAATACAGTAATTTTTGGTTTATGTAGAGTTAAATAGCGTTAATTTATAAAATGTCGAAAATACTGTATTCCGCAATAAGTTTGTTTCTTTGTAATTATGCACAAAGCTACACAATGGGCAGGAGTTTCGCCATACGTAACTATAAGTGTAAGCTAGGCACGTTTTTACATATAAACTCAATCCCAACAAACGTTGTCATTAAAATAAATATATAAGAAATTCGTTACACGCAATACATATATGACACTGTAAGTTACGCATATTTTTAAATACACATTTAATCTAAACAACGTTCATATTAAAAATAAATACATAACAATAAATTTGTTACAATGTTCTTCCACACAAGCTAGGTAGGAAAAAATAAAAGGCAAACTAATTTTAATTCAAGAAATAATATTTATGGAAATCCACGTTTTTGTATGTGCGTACTATTGACCATAACATTAGGGTTACACGAAATACGCAGTAGAAAAAGATCGCAAGACGTTGAAAAATATTGAAAGATATATTGAAAAAGTTATAACACTCGTCTATAACGGCAGATTGTTATATTTGCTATGTTTCAGGCGTATGCCTTTCGTCAGGCTTAGATACTAAAAATATACAATATACAAATATACTTATATACAAATACACGTAATTAAAAACTAACTCATGAGAGGTGTGTATACAGAGTAAAACAGGTGAAACCCAAATTATCTGTGGTAAACAATATCAATTTTGATTAGTTTTTATTTCTATCTATTATATTATATCGTTTATTTATTTTTATAACTGTATAGTTTTGTTTTGATTTTTCATCCCAGCACTGCTAGGCCCTTTTAGTTACCTTACTTTATTTAACTCTTGTATTATAAAGCCAGAGAACACAATTCTTTTTTTACGTATCTGATTCTGTGTGAATGCCTCGCGTTCTTTTCTTTTCATGGGCCCAATTTATAATTACGTGTGTTTATATACAAATTCGAAGTCGTTTTTTTATGTATTATGTATTTTCGTATTAGACGTGTGTGATAACTTTTCCAATATTTTTTTTATTGGCGGTTATTATGACGAGAAAGACTGGTTGTATTTCTTTAAAACAACCTTATGATTCATTTCTTTAAACTATTAGATTGCATCGTGTTAGGAAATCTTATCGTTGTTTTCTTAAATTTTCTATTTTTCAAGATTCATTAAAAAGAATATTCCATCGATTTTTTCTTAATAGTGAATGAACATTTGCACTTTTATCTTGCTGTCCCATAGAATGCCCTGAAATCTACTAGATTACGTTCATGTAGATTTATGTGGTTATTTACAAGGCTAAGTTGAATTAGTGTAAACCAGTGTAATAATGTGGATACTTTATATGGAATAAAGCTTGATTCTGTTGATCTAAAGATTCTGCTATGCTTCTTGTTGAATGTTGGTCAACTCTACAGAATTAATTCTAAAACAAGAAATCAACAAGTTTGTGAAAGAATCGATAACTCTACCTAACACTTTCAAGGTTGACTTGAAAGCAATGTTACGTAACTTAACTCATGCTAGAAAATTTCACAAACTATTTTTTGTTACTGTACCTTATACCAGCGATATATTTCCGGTCTTGTTATGATGGCTGCGGCTATTCCTCCAATATGAGGAATAACCATGTGTAGAGCAGTGATAGGTAAACCGGCGTCCAGCATCTGTGATGTAAGAACAAATATAAGTTATATAAGACTCAGAAATGTAAATATATCACATATTGAATGTCTAAGTACACTAAAGGTAATCTAAATAAGATATGAAGTGCTCCAAGAGTAGCTTCACTTATCTGAGCTTAGCAGTAAGAGTCGTGAAAGGCATCTTGCACTGTGGGGAAAGAAGTTATGGTGCACAGGGTTGAAATATAATTTGTACATAATAATGTGTTATTAACTCATATGATATTTTCAGGTATGGAATGAAAATATTCTGTTTAACTTTACCAAAAATAAAGAAAGCTCAAATTATTTATTTCCCTAAAATGGTTCATCAAAGCCTTCAACTTCAACCCTGGTGTTCCGTGACCTTCCTTGAAGTGATAATGGCTGGAGACGGCTTA